GAGGTGCTTTACCAACTCTTTAAAACTGCCTGTAAACTGGCATAATAAACATTTATATAGTGTACTGAACGACTTCGACTTCCCGCAACAGCAACCGCACTTAAAACCTAACTCGCGATCAACCAGTTTGCTGCAAAACTTGGGCATCAACAAGAAATAGGTGACCAAACTGTCGCGTGAAAAACCGGGAACTATTGGCTGTTCACAAAACAATCTGGACGCTCGACGGACAGAAATCTTTATCAAATGACTTTCAATGGCTACATCACTCGTCTGTTGGTCTGCGACAAAAATCAATCCAGCATAACCAGCATGTTCTTCCGTGGAGGACAAGGTATCTTGTAAGCACATATTCCCATCAGCTATGCTTATGGCAAATATAAGATGCACGTCTTACCACTCAGATATTGTTACAGTATAGGCAATGCCCTGCTATTATGATAAGCATATTCTGGAACAAGTTGTGTCCTTAGTTACACAGAACACGTTCTGTAACTTCCAAACCATAGCTGGATACGGTAGAAATTCTCTTGTTAGCCTGAAGATGATAAATGACAGTGGCTTGCGAGATAAAGGCATGGTAACCACTTAGCTAATCACGCAGAAAGACGGTACCTGGGGCTTTGCGTTGTCTGTCGAAAGCTACACCCAGTGACTACAATAGTGGCATAAAGTAGACATAATCGAAATCGGTGGTCAAACTTTCATCTACCTGATACTATATCGTCACTATATTGCCACTCTGTTACGACCTAAATGTACGGTATATCTTCAGCTAGTATTAAAATACACGTTTCTTTAAACACTCAGCTTACTAAAAAAATCCATTTATGTATATGTTACGACTGCATATTAGGCTACAATTTCCTACATACACAACAAGAGCGCACTGTAGCTTACCACTTACTGGCTTTAGCAAGTAGGTTTACTATAACTAGCTTTTTTAGCATAAACACAGCACTTCTAACAGAAGTCACTTTGTCCCGACATAAAGGCATGCTAGATCTTCAGCTTTTAGAACACATACCTTTCAGCGATGATACCCATGCAAGCATTAAGGAAGTCAAGTTAGGCGAACGAACATTTTCGAGTAATTCATCATCAAGCAATACAGTAATATAAGGGAGGGTAGAGTAAACGAAATTTTTAGATAAACCAGTCAGTAGTAAAAAGGGGGAAGAGGGGGGAGAGAGGTG